AAAATTAAACAAATTATTCACGCCATATAAAATTCTGAAAAGAGTTTTCGGTTGGTAACGTTGGAAATTTATTATGCCTGCCATATTAAATTCGCGCAAAATTTATGGATTCCCGGTTAGTTAGACAAATGTTTTACAAGGGCAAATTGAAAAAAATAAATAAAAGAGCACAAGAAGAACAGGAATTAGGCTAAGAACAACACAAAGAGCTGTTGCTGTTGTTATTTTACGAACGTGACAAGCAATAGAGAACGAGGCTCTCCTGGCAGGAGGACTAAGTGGGGCAGGCCTCGGAAGCAGGCGCGCGTGAGAGTAAACCAAATTAAACTGCCAGAGCAATAAATCAAAAGATATTTCTTTACTTGGGACGAAGCCTCTTAACTTTTTGTGCATGCGCCGCGAAAGATATACTTGGCTGACTTTCCGTGGGTTCTGTGAGCATGTTTTGTGGTCTGTGATGCATATGAGGCATTCGTCAAATCCTTAACTTAATTTTATGCTTGACAAGCTGTCGAACGGGTTGAACACTCAACATAAAATGTGGAAATATGTTAATCAACTAGATCTTCCATCAATCACAAGCCTACCAAAAACAGTTATTTATCTGATTGATTGATGAATGACTTCCAATTTATTTAATGGTCCTTATGTTGTATATCTAGTTCTAGGGCTTTAATCAATTACTAAGCCTGCTTAATAAAATAAAAACTAAAAATAAATACTTAATACTGTTCTCCAATTATTATTGTACGTTAATAATGTTACTTAAAATAAATAAATTAGCTAGTCCTTTATTTGGACTTAACTAAAAAGTATGGTATAACAGACCCACAACTTATTTCAAAGGCAAACCTAATAGATTGTCAAATCCACAGATGATAGTCAGAAAAACTAAACTAAATTGGATACCTTAAGTATAATTAACGACCTATCGTAGTCTTGACCTTTGGTAATCTCTTGCAAATTGACTAAAGTTTCTCGTGCTTTGAATAATGGAAAAACTTTGTATAAGTCCACCCTAATTATGCGCTTACCAACTTTTCCTCGTTGCAGATAAACTTGACGCAAGCAATTTAAGCACCGAGGCATCACACCTGGCCCACACACCTGGCACGCAGCCACCCAGCAAACGCTCCCTCGGCCACAATCCCCTAGGGGGTGACACTACCAGCAACATGTACGGCATGCTATATGAGAGCGTACAGCACTATATACAGGAGGAGTACGGCATGGAGACGTGGAAGAAGATATGCCAGATAGTCGACTGCAAGCACAACACCTTTAAGACCCATCAGATATATCCGGACAAGCTGATGCCGGATATTGCGGCAGCCCTTTCCGCCTGTACGGGCGAGTCCTTTGACTTTTGCATGAACTTCTTCGGCAGGTGTTTCGTGCGATTCTTTAGTAATTTTGGCTACGACAAGATGATACGTTCGACGGGTCGCTACTTTTGCGATTTCCTGCAGTCCATCGACAATATACACCTCCAGATGAGATTCACCTATCCGAAGATGAAGTCGCCCAGCATGCAATTGACCAATATGGATGATAATGGAGCGGTCATATTATATCGCAGTGGACGAACGGGTATGTCTAAATATCTCATCGGCCAGATGACGGAGGTGGCAAAGGAGTTCTATGGCCTCGAAATGACAGCTTATGTAATAGAAAGCCAGAACGATATTTGCGGCGGAACTGCTGGACCGATCAAGCTGACAGAGGGTCCTCTAACGGTTGTAGTGAAGTATCGTCTGGACTTTGATAACCGCGACTATATGGCCAAGCGTGTCAACATTGTCGCCCATCCCACCCAGCTTAAGATGCCCTCTGTAGACTTGAATGTCTTTCTGGAGCTGTTTCCGTTCACGTTTGTTTTGAATCACGATATGAAGATCACTTTAGCTGGCGAGAAGATAATTGAGACTTGGATATTGCATAATCCGGGAGTTAATCCAAAAACCTTCATTGGGACCCATGTCATGGATGTGTTCAAATGCCGTCGTCCGAAGGATACAAAGATTGACTGGAACACCATTCTACAGATGCGAACAGTTCTCTTCGAGATGGAGCTGATTCGCACCGGGCACAATCGTGATGCCTACGACGCGGCCCTGAACATGGACTATGAGAACTTTGACGAAATGAGTTTGAACGAAGCTCAAACTATGGCACTAGCTAAGGCTGACGAGTTTGAGAAAGAGCAAGAGAAGGAACAAGAAGAAGCGGCAGCTACCAAACATGATGAGATCGATCCAGCCACAGGACAACGCAGGCCATCAGTGGGTCTGCGCTCTATTCTCCTGAAGGGACAAATGTTCTACATCAAGGATGTCGACTCGTTAATTTTCCTATGCAGTCCTCTTATAGAAAATCTGGATGAGCTGCACAGCATTGGCCTGTACCTGAATGATCTGAATCCGCATGGTCTGAGCCGAGAGCTTGTCATGGCGGGCTGGCAACATTGCTCCAAATTGGAGATGATGTTCGAAAAAGAAGAACAGCGTTCCGATGAGCTGGAAAAGTCCTTGGAGTTGGCCGATTCCTGGAAGAGGCAGGGAGATGAGCTCCTCTACTCGATGATACCGCGTCCCATTGCGGAACGAATGCGTATGGGTCAAGAGCACGTCTGCCAGAGCTTTGAAGAGGTCTCCGTAATTTTCATTGAAGTGATGAACATCTACGATAGCGGATCAACCAACGTGCAGGAAGCAATGCAGGCGGTAAACACCCTAAATAAAGTTTTCTCCGCGCTGGACGAAGAGATCATATCGCCCTTCGTCTATAAGGTGGAAACTGTGGGCATGGTCTACATGGCAGTGTCCGGGGCACCAGATATCAATCCATTGCATGCCCAGCATGCATGCGACCTAGCTCTGAGGGTCATCAAGAAGGTGAAGTCCCACAATCTGCCGGATGTGGCCATTCGAGTGGGCATCAACTCTGGCCCAGTGGTGGCGGGTGTTGTGGGCTTAAAGGTGCCGCGGTACTGTCTCTTTGGCGATACTGTGAACACGGCCTCACGCATGGAGAGCAGCTGCGATCCTTGGAAGATACAGTTATCCAACTATACGGCCTTGAAGGTTCGAGATGTGGGCTACAAGGTGGAGGCACGCGGCTTTGTAAAAGTCAAGGGCAAGGGAGACATGGAAACCTATTGGTTGCTTGAGGGACCAGAAGAATAATACATTTGTTACTGAACTTTACTAGTCAATAAAAATATATATATGTTTGTGGTACAAAAAAAACCTTCTGTATGTCACGATCTGAATAAAGCGTTTGAATACTCAATATGTTCGATAACGATAGATCGATAAGATTCCTCACCAATTATTGGCGGCAAACCTGTCAAACAAGCAACGTCACGGCAAAGTGGGCCGATAAATGATCTGCTGTGCCCCTTCACTTTGTTTTTGAATCCCACGAGATAAAGATAAGTTGCACATTATCGCCGTTTATTGTATTAGACAAACGCGATGCTTAAGTATAATTTAATTGTTGCAGTGTGCGAAAACTTTGGCATTGGTTTCAAGGGCGACCTGCCCTGGCGTCTAAAGTAAGTCAAAAAAAAAAAAAATGCGCAATATGGCACTTGTTTTATATTTGATTATTATCTTATATACCAAATATTATACATTTTATATACACCCCTGCACAGATCAGAACTGAAATATTTCAGTCGCACAACAAAGCGAATCAATGATCCCTCCAAGCGCAATGTCGTGATCATGGGCAGAAAGACTTATTTTGGTGTGCCTCCCTCTAAGCGCCCACTGCCTGACCGTCTGAATATTGTCCTAAGCACCACACTCACCCAGGAGGAGCTGCCAGAGGGTGTTTTGCTATGCGGCAGCCTCGACGAGGCCATGCAGACGTTAGAGAGAAAACCTCTGTGTGATCAGGTGGAGAATATTTGGATTGTGGGCGGCAGTGGGGTGTATGCAGAAGCAATGGAGTCTCCCCGTTGCCATCGTCTCTATATAACTAAAATCCAAGAGCAATTCGAATGCGATACGTTCTTTCCCAATATTCCGGCGAGCTTTCACGAAGTAGAGCTCACAGAGGACACGCCTCATGGCGTACAGGAGGAGAACGGCATTAAGTTTGAGTACAAGATATTGGAAAAACGCGAGCATATAATATAAAACAAAAACAACAAACACTTATTTATTACTGCCTCTCACATCGTCTGCTGTTATCGTGTCGCCATGGAGGGCCTTGGCGGCCAGCATTAGCTCGTATAGCTGGACCACTTGATCGTCTTTAAGCATTTCCACTGACTGCGAGTCGAGCGGTTCTCCCAGTTCCCCTTTGGGCTTGCCGCGCAGTCCCAGCTGTTTTGTGATCGTGGAGGCGTATCGCTGGAAAGAGAATAGAGGCAATCAAAAAACTCAAGTCCGCTTACGTAAATCCCTTACAGCCCATTCGGTCATGAAAAGTTGTGCCTCCATTGGATTGCATTTGAGGTGCCGTCTAAACTCATCCCGCACGTAATTATCGCCCAAGGCGCGCAGCTCAGTGGGTAAACCTTCGATTTAAAAATGGACCTGATATTAAGTCAAAAGTTGTTTATTTGTTGTTTGTTGTGGGATGACTTACCTCGATGTAGCCTCAATATGGTTTTGTACAGTAAACGCACACGCTGTGGATGTGTATACTGGCTCATTATATTTATCGACATGGTGTGTCTTTTATAAACGTGCTTAACAATATATATTTGTAGTAGTAAAATCCAAATTCTAAATTATAAAAACAACTGCCAGCGCCAGGCCAACCAAGCCCCAGGGCTGGGAAAACTTTAAAACATCGATATATCACGGACCATGTTTTTCGATAATACCAATTTTATAATATTGCTTTATAGATGTTGTTAATATAATACCCATTGAATATTGCTAGCAAATTATATACAAGCGCATATATCTGGCTCAGTTATCCTAGCCAATTACTTGTAATTTCTGGGATGTGTAAAATCAAGTTGGCAGGTCTGCCATGGCCAGCGATTTCGTGCATTTGAATTTAACAGCAGTTTTAATTAGGTTGGCATGTCCGCACCGCGCGTCCCTTGCAAAAAGAATTCCTGTACAGAAAACCGGGCTGTTTGTGCGTATGAAAAATACATAATAGAGTGCGTAAAAACGTTTATTGAAGAGAAAAAGTGTTCTATTATTGTTGTGCGTACATGTATGCCAGTGTTTGTGGTATTTCTATGTGCGCTACAAAAGTCTAGCTTCAGTTGTCGCTTGCGGCTTCCTTTTTTCTCTCTGTCTTTTACTTCTGCACCAAGCGAAAGTTGCAGCCGCCGACGACGAGACTCACACCGCCGCCCACAAACGTAGAGGTTTTTTTTTTAGCAGCTGCATTTGCAATTAATTGAATGCTAAATGTATAATGTCGCTGGATGGCGCGCAATTGAATCATGTGAATGCTGATGGCATTTCAGTGGCATACCCAGCCAAAGGACGCAAGTTCAATGTAGGCTCTTTTCTGGGCTCCGATTTGATGCTGCCCGATGCCGAGCGCGTTCACTGCGAGATACAATGCGACGCCTTTGGCAGGGTGAGTACTGTGTTTGTGTGTATAAGTGCGTGCAAATAAAATGCGCGCGTATCGATTTGGCATGGCATTTAATAAACAATATTAATAATTGCTATATCTAGGTAACCATCTACAATTATTCAGTCAACGAGCCCATCCTGTTGAATGATCAGGTTGTGCCGGCGACCGCCAAGCGTCCATTGATGCACGGCGCACGCCTTAAAATACTGAATGAATTGTATACATGGCATTTTCCCAAAGTGGAAGACGCGCCCAACACACCGGACCGCACGCCACCCGAACAAGCGGCCAACTCATCGCCAAGCTTGAAAGTAAGTTTAACTTGAGGCAGTTAGATAGACGCTTAACTAATTGGCTTTGGCCCGTTTCACAGACTCATCGAGCACGTCGTCAATTTGAGAATCGCTTCACCGTGCACAAGTAAGTAAAAGCAAACAGCATGAAACATGCAAGGCAGGCAGCAAGCAACCCAGGTAGTCAAAAAGAAAAGGACGAGCACACACATTTAACCCCCAAACGCGCGGACATATGCTCTGAAAAAATATATTTAGAGACCTCAAGACTGCAATCAAGAAATCAAGACACAGTCAAGACACAACAATTGCACTTTTCTGTGATATTACTATAGTAGGAAGAAACATATGGAAGAAGAAGTCATGTTGTAAATTCAAATTATAATATTTACACAAACATAAAAAATATATTGGTTGTATAATATATAATATATAATCACAATATAATATAAAAATAAAAATCGGTTAATATCTACACGTTTCTTCTAACTGTATATATATATGCTAAAAGAACTTAAACATGTCTATTTAGAAATGTTGAACTCTAGCTTTGTTTATTTTTTCAATCTAAAATCTTATAAAAAATAATCCTCTTTTTTTGATTGATAAGTGATTCGCAGCCTTTACTGGGAACTAAATCTATTTTAAAATATTCAATTTGTTTTCATACTTATTTTAAAGTTTTATTATTTATAATGTTACACTTATTAACGCAACAGTGAGTTTTAGCAAGATATTATAATTTATTGAATTTATTATGCTTCATGTTCAGATTGAAAGAAATATAAAAAAAAATCAATGTTGTTCGCTAAACATTGTCAATCATTCATTATTATTAACTATATACGAATTTTGTTGATTAATATAAAGAAAATATTGAAAATCGGGATAAAATGATATTTCGAAAAGGAGATTACGCCATAGAACCCGAAAGAACTGTCAAAAGATCATATATTTTCATTATTATTATTTTCTAGTTAACTTATTAAGTATATATTAACTGTGTTGACTATAATTAATGAATTCCGAACATAAATAGAATAATAGGATATTTCAGTACTAAGGCCATATTTGATATGTTATTGGATAATGCTTTAATAATATCATGCTTACAGCTTTCGATATTCCATCAATTCAGACGATGAGGGTAATACATCGATTGAAACGCCCCCATTGGAGACCAGCACGAGCAGCAATGCAGAAACAGATCCGACAGCTGAAGCAGAAGTGGAACGCTGTGTTACGCCATCCGTCCAAGAAGTGGACGAGTCACTGCCCAAAGTCGATTTAGTGAAGGCAACTCAGAACAAGGAGAACACCAGGACGCCTTGTAACAAGCTGATTCTAGAGTTGTGCGACCGCTCCGATGTTGTCATCACATCGTTTTCTCCACGTGAAACGGGCGTAAAAATTGAGAAATCCTTTACGCGCGTCATCAAGCCCAGCACAGGACTCGGAGTTGGATTGCTCTCAGCGGCAAATACGCCGAAGAGCGTTTACAGTACGCCGAAGAGTGTGCTGTCCGAACAGAACGATGACAGCTGCAGCCGCGACCTAATGGACTTCAGTACGCCATCCACGTCGAAAAAGGCGCTGTCTGGCAAACGACAATCTTCCATGTATTTAATTGACCTAACAACGCCGCAACGATTGCGGCCCACATTGTCGGCGACGCCCAAGCAGACGCCCGCCAGTGCTGGCGTCATCAGTGTGGCCTCCACTGATGAGTCCTCTGACTCGCCGATGGTCATAGACATCACCAATTTGTCCACGCCGTCAACCTCGTCGGCAACTATATCCAAGCAGGACCAACAGTCACGTCTGACTGCCAAAACGCCCAAGGAGCAGAAGCTGGTTGCCAGCTCCACGCCCAGGCGCACGCCACAGTCGCTTATGAAACGTGCACTGCTCACCAGTGCCAAGAAGCAATTGCCTGAAGCAAGTAAGAGCAAGCACACGACGCCCGCTCGTCAATCGCTACTCGATGCACGTCGTCAGTGCTTGACGGCGCCTCGACGCCTGCCCTTCCATCCGCAACCGCAATGGCGCACACCGGGTCGTCGCCAAATGGCCAACACTCCAGTCAAGGCTCCCTTGACAACGCCGCGGAAACGTCAATCGTCCGTCTGTCTGAGCAGTCCGCGCGACAACAAAATCTCGCAGCTGCGCAAATCACTAGCCGCCGCCGCCAAGGTGAGTCCAAGCGTCGGCATGAGCAACAAGCTGGTGGCTAAGGCCCGTCGTGCTCTCAACTCGCCCAAGCAGAATTCCCCGCAACGCATCGAATCGCCCAAAGTGGATACACCACGTGAAGAGTCCAACGAGCCAGATCTTGGGCAGAATCTGTCTTCTGAGTTGAGCCGCACATTCACCTTAGATGACGACAATGGCAACGTATCCTCAGCAGCAGCTCTAGAAGCAATGGCTTCCTTAATAAATGATGATGAAATGCCTGCCCTGGCACGCAGCAAACAGTTAAATTCATCCCTGAATGAAGTGAAGCCCAACGACACGACTCAAAAAGAACTGGATGAGAGCAACAATATATTTTCGCCCAATGACGATGCTAAAGAGGATGAGATTGATTCAACCCAAGAAGGCAACCAAAATCGAACCTTTGATGCGAATGTGTCTCAGGAGCTGAAGAATGAGAGCATTGAATCCCCGAAAGCATCGCCTACAAATGAGAGTTTAAAGAATCGTGAAGATGCAGAAATTGTTAAGAGTGTTGTACTGCAGGAAACAGCTTCCGAATTCTCAAAGGACTCAGCTGCAGTTGATATCATTGAGGATAACATCTGCGAGGAAGTGACGCCAACAACCACATATCAAGAAGGTAAAGCCATAGAAAATTATGTTAAATCGATCCATTTAATATTTGTAAATAATTCAAGGAGAAGCCGTTGATAACTTGGCCGAGGACTCCATATGCGAGGAGGTATGCATTAGCCCGCAGGATGACTCAAAAGCTGAAGGTAAGAAATTATTTTTAAAAAAATTGAAAATTAGAGTACTCAATTTAATTAAGACTTTGCTTAAATATTTAATTATTAAATGCCAAACTAATTTTTATTAAAATTAAATGCAGAATATGAGAAAACGTATTTCCAATAACTTGATGAAATTAATTAAAATAATTAATAAAATATGATTAAAATGTTATATTATAGTTCCTGAAGCCTCTCCAGAGGACGATGTGAATGAATTAGCGCAGTCCAGCCAAACTCCATTAACAAAGCGCGTCACACGACGCTCTTCAATGGAATCTAAGCCAGTCGCAGTGACGCCCAGACGCAGTGTGCGCCGAGCATCCATTGAGGCAAGTAATAAACTGGATGAGCAGTTAGCCAGGCCAAAGCGTCGTGCATCATGCTCCTCGACCTTGGAACACGAAGCCGCTGCACTGGCCACGACCACGCCCAAACGCAAGCGACGCCTTACTGAAGAGTTGTCGACGCCAACACGCAAATCGGTACGCCGGATAAGCAACACACCAAAGGCAGTAGCGCAAGTAGACGAGTCTGTGGGCGATATGGGCGTTATAGTGGAGGAGGAGGATGCCGTGCAGCTAGAAGGTGAGCAACTAAATGGAAGCAATAACTAAATAGTTGTACTAAACCAATATTTCACAGACAACAAATTGCCAGCAGATGAGGACTATGGCAACGAGCTGCCATCTGATGCGATTGATGAACCGGACAGAATTGACTACCATGGTATGCGAGAGCTGCTGAAGACACCCAAAAGCTGCAGTACTCCGCGTTTCAAGGGATTGCGTGAGATGATGCAGACTCCCAAGGCACCAGCTTCACCCGTGCTAGACCACATTGAGGAGCTGTTGGAAGGGGATTCAAATGATGCAAGCGCTACGCCTAAGCGTCAAGTGACCGTAGGCCGCGTGAGCCTGGAGCTAACCCGACCTGAAACGCAGGACTTGTACTTCAAGACGCCGAGTGGTAAGGATCTAATGATACCAAATGATCCGGCTAGTGCAGTGCTCAAATCACGCGAAGATTCATTGGCAGCCACTACAGAATACGATTTAAATGCAACAAATGCAACGGTCCACTTGGACAAGATCTTTGATGATATGCTCACTGCGGAGACAACAAATCCAATCGAGGGCTCCGAGGTCGAGATAAATGTGACTACTGTAAGCACTGTCAGCGACACTGTAGCTGATCCTTTGGCTTCTTCTTTGGGGCCAAGTGACACTGTCAACTCTGAGGCGCTAATGACAATTGGCGATATGGATGAGAGTCATCGAGACCCTCTAACAAGCACTGCATTTAAACCTGGTGCTCAAGCTGATGCTAATGAGCGTCATTTGGATACAGGAAAATCATCAAGCATTTGCGAAATGAGTGGTATACAGCTGCTCGATCAGACATCAGATTCTATGTTCTCAGAGCCCCTGATTGTCACCGGCGTGGACTCAGCTGACGTCACATTGGAGGAAACAAAAGCAACAGGGACTGTTAAAGCATGTACACCAAGAAAGAGCATTCTGGAGGATTGCTCTGATACAGATTCGATGATAGGCTTGGCTGAGCCTCTAGTAGTGAGCGACGATGAAGACGACATAGAAGATGATCCAAAGAAGCCAAATGTAAACGCATCTGTTGCTCAGATAGAAAATTCTCAGGATGAACATAAAACTTCTAATAGAGATAGAGCTGAGAGCTCATCTGTCCAAGTGCAAGACCCGAGCGCAAACACATCAATTGCTTTGGATAATTCACAGAAAAACGAACAGGAACCTGAACCCTCAATTATCGAAGAATTGTCAATACAACTTGAAGTATCCAGTCAAACTATATCTCGGATTGATTTAGAGGCAACTAACGTCGATGCAACGTTGGATATATCTATTGATAATAGAAAATCTACGATTTATGCCCTTAATACTAGCGAAGCTCAAAAGAGTGAGAAGCTGACGACTGGTACAGAATCTTTCATGAACGATTTGAATGAAGGGCAAGAGGAATCAACAACTGGGGAATCTGTGAGCCATGAAATAAGTGAAATTCCCGAAGAAGATGAAGTTTCCATGATTGAGCTAGAGTCCTCAAATGTAGCTGCAAGTAATACAACAATTAAAGACAATGGAAATGAAGTGGAAGTTGTCGCTTCTCCTGTAAAAGAATTGCCAATCTTGACAAACGAAAATAAAGAAGCTCTCAACTGTGAGATGTCCAGCGAAAATAAGATTGAAAAGGACCAAACTCTTGAAATAATATCAAACACAGATATAAAATGTGTGAGGAATGATATTACGAATAAAGCTGAAATATCAAATAAGGAACAAATAGAACAACTGCAAATCCCAGATGCGAATGTAAACGTTCTGGAAGCTACAACTTCCCCTCTGGATATTATAGACTCGAACGAGACCAATTTAAATACTTCAGATAAGGAAAATCTTAAAGTGGAACTGAAGGAACTGACAACAAAGTGTGAAGATGAAAAAGAAATTAACAAAACTAAAACACCGGAAGACGTGAAAAATCGGGATACTCATTTGGATGAATCAGTAATTGAAATCGATGTCTCTGTGCTTGCAGAAAATGATGAAGCAGAGAAACAAGTTCCAGAAGTCACTGAAAAGACTCATACTGTAAAAGAAAGAGAAACAACTGCAACAATAGGAGACCCAGTTGAAACTCAGAATTCCGATGCAGACGAATCTATTGTAGAACTTGATGCCTCTCTGCGAGCAGAGATTGACGTAGATCAGCAATTAGAGGAGCAATTTCCAGAAATTATAAAACCGTCGTCCATTAAAAATGAAATTAAGGAAACTGCAAGAGTTGAAAGCCTGGACTCCAATGTAGACGAATCGATAATTGAACTTGATGCATCTGTGCTAGCAGAAAATGATGTAGATCAACAATTAGAGGAGCAACTTCCGGAAATCGTAAAAACGATGGCTACTGAACGCGAGATTGAAGCACTAGCAGAAGACATAGCTAGTGCTCAGGATATTGTTCTGGAAGATTCTATTATTGAACTTGATACGTCTATGCTCGCAACCGATAATGATGTAAAAGAACTTCCTATCGAAACGAGTACAACATCACCTATTCTTAAGCCAAAAGCAACTGAAGTAGTAGTTGAAACGACATCAAAAGCTGAAACAATATCAACGGAAATCGCTGAAGAGGATGAACCGGCGATGAGTAACTCCGAGTCTTCCGAATCTAACAAAAATGAATCTCTACTGATTCAAGGAGCTTTTAGCGAAACTGAGTGGGCTCAAAAACCATCACTAGACCAAGATTTATGCGTTTCGGAAAATAACACAGAAGAGACTGCCTGTCAAGATATTCTTGAAGATAATGCCACAAATCAGAATGAATCGCTCCTTCAGCAGGATGATAAAAATCAAAATGAATTATATATTTCATCTGATGATATCTTGCCTAGATCTTCAGGAGAATCCTTAGCGGACACAAGTGCATCTCCTGATGCCAATGTAAATAAGTCACTTATTGAAATCGACGCATCAAATGCAACAACAAAAGGGGAAGACAAAAAGGAAAAGTCACATGCCAAAGCCCAGCCCGCCGTAACATCAGAATTGTCAGAGGACACGATATCATCAACTCGTGCATCGGTCGGCGAAAACGATAAGATAGTACCGCATCCGATTGAAAATACTATTGTGCTAACATCTCAACGTGAAAATGACGAGAAGTTGAATGCTTCTCTTGTACCTGATGTTGACAAAGCTTTAGAAGAACAGCCGATGGAAAATGCGACTAATAAGCCTGTTGATGTACCAAATAAGGAAACAGCTATCAAAGATTCGCCAGCCACAACCCAAGAAAAAGAAGACACTATTGATACCACAGAAGATGAAAATGCAACTCATTTGAAAAATGATGAGGAAATAACAGCTATCGCAGATTCCTCTGCTTCGACTCAAGACATAGTAGAAACCCTGGACACGACGAAAGATGAAAATGCAACAAACGTTAAATCAGATGATGTGCCGAGAAAGGAAACGCCAGCTATCGCAGATTCTACGGCCCCAACCCAAAACGAACAGGAAACTATGCATACGACAATAGATGAAATTGCGACTAATGGTAAATCAAATGATGTGCCGAATGAGGAAACAACAGATATCGATGATTCCACAGACATGACCTTAGACAAAGAAGAAACCTTAAATTCGACGAAAGATAAAGACACGACTAATTCAAACTCAGATGATTTGCCGAAAGAGGAAATTCCAGCTATTAAAGATTCTTCAGCTTCAACCTTAGACAAAAAAGAAGCTCCTGATACGCTTTTGGATGATTCAATAGCAAATCAGTCAGTTCGTCAAAGCCTAGATGGCGTTTCAAAGGACATATCATTTCAAAATAAAGATGAGAATTCAGTTGCATTAGATACTCCATTAACAACTGAAGAAAACGAAAAAGTGGACGCGAAATCAAGTCCTAACGCAGAATCGGCTGAAGCGCTATTGACACACAATGATGTAATGATGGATCTTGTAGAAAAAGAAGAATACGAGGATGAAAAGTCGCCAAGACCTATTCCAGAGACCGTACTACAAACTGACGAGGCAAATGTCAATATTGAACCTACAGCACGTGAATCTTCAGCTAAGAAAATCCAAATTGAAGTTGAAGCTACAAGCACTAAAAAGTCGGCTATGGGAGACGAAGACGATAAAGTTTCATTCACAAAAGATACGGCCGAAGAACCTAAAAAACAACTTGATGAAATTATTGATTTGGATGCCAACTGCTTGGCTGAAAATGATATTGAACTTGTAGCAAATAAAGATGAAAGTGTAGTAATGGATATTCAGCAAAATGAAGATGTAAGCGCCAATAAACTAGATGTTCAGGATGCGTCTCAAACTGATAAAATGGAAGATCATCAAGGAAATGAAAAAACACAAGTTGAGCATTTGAAAACTAAGAAAACTATTGAAACTGGAAAAGAACAGGCGAATTCTAGTTCATCCCAGGATGAAAATCATGAAGTTGAAGTCGAGAATAAACCTGTAAAAATACCTACAGACGCTGCTCCAACTGAGATAGAGGGAGTAATTGATTTGGATGATTCTACAATCGACTCGAACTCTATAACTGATCCCAGCTCTTCTGAAATTCAATCTACCGAAGAAGCAGCTGTGATTGAACTAGACGATTCAACTGCAGAATCTAGCTCTATCGCCGAACCCAAATGTTCCATTGGAGATGATGGGGTAATTGAACTAAACGATTCCTCAACTGATTCCAATTCGATGGCAGACCAACAAAGTGCATACAAAAAAGCGGGAATACGAACGCTTAATCAACCACTAGAACAAGTATCAGTTGAAATCTCTGAAGAAAGCACTTCGACTTCTACCATGGGAAAAGTAAATGTTACGCCCACACACGAAACTATCGATCAGAATACAACTGATAAACAGATAGGGCACAATGTCGAACAGCAATCAGTTTCTGAATTGAAGCAAGCGGAAATAGTGGCTGCTAAGGTACAGCCAGCGGATATAGGGGATGTAGAAAATTCAGAGAGTAAAATAGAGGAGGAGCTCGCGAAGAATCAACCTCAAAGTGAATCTTCTGAGTTAGGAAACCCAACGCCCGATTTGAATGAAAATCAGACCAAACAAAGCGATCGTTTGTCCAAAGATTTGTTTGCTGATATTATGGAGAATGACCATGTTGAAGCTGCTGTTGTTAATCAAGCAACGATTACGGCAGAATTATTAAATATTAAGCCCCTGCAGACTGAAGGCTTGGAAAAACATATGAGAAATACTTCGGAAGGTGTGGAAAATGAAATGCAACTGGACAAAGTGATCGGAGTAGCAAATGAAAAAGTTAAAGCAGACAACACCAAAGAGCAGGGGCGTACATATTCATTAGATATTGCTGAAAATTGTGAGCCTTTAGAAGATAAACAGAATGATGAAGCATCCGTGGAAGCTATCGAAACTCATACAGAAAACAAATTGAAATTACGTGGAAGAAAATCAATTGATACAGAAGAAATAATTACAGAAACTGTTGCACAAATAGAAATTGTGGCTGAAGAACCAAGCCACCTTCAGCAACCAAAGCGTCGTGGCAGGAAAGCAACAGTGGAAATCGATGAAAAGAAATTGGAAGAAACTATTGCGAAAGAAACGGTCACTCATGAAGAGATACCTGAGCAGCGGTCTAAATCAAATCGGCGTGGAAGAAAACCAACAGTCGAGACGGAAGAAAAAGATGCAGAGAAGACTGTACAGCAAATTGATAATGAAAGTAAAAAACAAAAGTTGGCAGAGTCAAGTCATCCCATTAGATCAACACGTCGTGGAAGAAAATCAGTTGATGCTGAGGAAAACAAACATCAGGATACAGTCGAAGATGCTACTATAAAACATACCGAAGTTAAATCTGATGAACAAAATGAACTAAACAAACCGAAGCGTCGGGCAAACAAAGAAGCAGTAAAAACTATAGCGGTTGAGAAGAAAATAGAAGAGTCAACTGCGGAAGAAACTGTTGATGCTGAGGATAAGCAGCCTAACATAGTTCCAGAAGAAGATAATGAACATATAGAAACGAAGTCTGAGGAACAGAGCGATCAACCTAAATCGAAGCGTCGACCAAGAAAAGCAACGGTTGATCAAACTGAATCGACAGAGAAGAAACTCGAGGAAACAGTTGATAAGATTGTTGATAAGCCTAAATCAAAACGTGGAAGGAAACCTACACATGATGACAGTAAAGAACACGCAGAGGACAAATCGGAAGAAGAAAATGCGGCGAAAGCAAAAGACCTGCATAAGCCTAGAACGAGACGCGGCCAAAAGGTAACGACAACAGAACTTGAATCAAAGGAAACCCCGGAACAAGAGAAACTTGTTGAAGACACAAGTGAATTGGACAGACCTATTGTACATGATGAAACCCCCACTACGACTGTTGAAGAAATGGCAGAGAAGACATCAACAGACACTGAGAAGCCAAAGCGACGTGGACGTAAGCCATCCGCTGAAGTTGTTGCCGTCGAAGTGTTTGAGCCCGTGAAGCCCAATGAAGAGCCTATCAAAGAGAAACCCAAGCGGCGAGGACGCAAAGCATCTGCAGAGGAAACACATGAACTGCCCGAGCGCAAAACGACGCGAAATACTCGGAAGGCTTCTGCGGAAACTGTGGAGCAACACGAGCCAGCCAAGGAAGCCATGGACATTATTGAAGAAGCTGAGGAACCATTGTCGAAGATTCTGCGCGTGGAAGAACCAGCTGCATCAACAACGCCCATAATCCGAAGACGTGGTCGCCGCCAATCTGTTAATGCAGAGGATGCTCCGCCACAAGACGTGGTTGTGGCAACCAGCTCGCGACGTGGACGCAAAGCCACAACTGATACAGAGACGCCAGCTGAGCCTGCTGAGGTGAAGCCAAAACGACGCGGTCGCAAGCCGTCTGCCGATGAAACTCACACGGACGACGCGGAGCCAGCTAAGAAACTAGCTAAACGTGGTCGCAAACCCAGCGCTGAAGTGGAGCATCATGACTCAGATGCAACGGAACCTGCAGTGGAGAAGAAGACGGCCACGCGACGAGTCCGCAAGGCTTCAGTTCAAATGGATACACCTACATTGGCGAAGAAAGCAACTGCACGACGTGGACGCAAAGCGTCCGTGGCTGAGGAACAACTGGAGGTGCCCAAGGACCTGCCGGAATCGTCTGCAGTTGTTGTGGCTGCATCATCACCACGACCACAGCCACCTAGCTCAGAGGATGAACTGACCCCGCGCCGTCGCGAAGGACGGAATTTGCCGCGCAAAAATTATGATGAAACATCGGATGAGGATAAGCGGGGCTCCACGTCGTCGCCGCGTCGTGCACGTAAGCCAGCAGCTAGCAAAGCGGCCAGTAAAGCAGCTGGTGCCGTAACACCACCCGTAGCGAAGCCCACCACTCCAATCCCAACCACCAAGCAGGAGACGATTGTCGAGTCCACAGTGGAGCCTTTGGTACCCCATACGCCGACTGGGCCGCCTGTTGTACTGCCAGAGCCAACTAGCTCTCAGCGACGTGAAGGGCGTAATGTGCCGCGCAAGAACTATAATGAGACCTCGGATGATGACAAACCAGGCACCTCGCGTGCACGTCGGGTTCGACAGCCAACGGTCAAGGCCTTGGAGCTACTAGTCGATACAGCAGCAGCTGCGCAACGTCCCATAACGCCAAGGCGGCGCAAGGCCAAAGATGACGGCGATCAGCCGCCAGAGAAGAAACCCTTAACAGACCAAGGAACGCCTATTACGGCTACCAAATCGCGGGCTGGAGGTCGTCGTAAAGCTCCCGATCCAGCTGATGTAGCAGAGGTTGTCTCCGTTGCCCTGTCAACTGGCAAACGCGGTGCACGCAGCCGCAGGGACAGTGCCGCCAGTAATCAGCACGAAGAACAGGTGGAACAGGAATTGGCGCCTGAGCCGGAGGTGGAGCCTAAACAGACAACTAAGCGCAATGCACGCGGCAAAGGTAAAGCTGCGGTAGCTGAAGAGGAGGCGACAGATGAGCCGGTTACCAAAAAGCCGCGGGGCAAGACGCCGATCTTGGTCACGCATGTGGAAGTGGTACCAACAGAAGAATCGACCGCCAAGCGAGCGCCTGCTTCGCGTGGCCGTGCCGCACGAACCGTAAAAGCCGTCGAGGATAATGTGGATGGTGCGCCAGAGACGACGGCGCCAGCACGCGCCGGACGCGGTCGCAAGGTACACTTCGAGGCGACGGAGGAGGCAACGACTGCAGCGAGCGCAGCAGCGCAGGCAGAGGCGCCCACACGTTCGACACGGTCTCGCCGCAAATAGATTCCATTACCTAAATATTTTAAATTTTAAACTCTTTTTTTATGTTTATTGTTTATGCCTCCTGTGTACAAAAAAGGTTTACAGCATGGTAATATATATGTAACTACGTATTGTTAATTTTTAAGTTAAAAAAATTAAATTAAATTAAAAAATATCTGAAAGTTGACAGAGAGATGGAGAAGGAAGGTCGGAGCTCAAGCATGCATACATAATGAATACATACTTTAACAAACCTTAATTTCTAGATATACATAATTAAACAATGCATATGAATACTTATATAAATATATACATAAATAAATAGCTTAGCTTGTAAGATTCTCACAAAAATAAAATAACTAATAAAGAAAATGAAAAATGTCTTAAATTTGATATGCAGAAAGCAACATATCCATGATATTTCATGCGGTCGGTCGATCCAGAGTATTTTTAATGCAAACGGTGTACTCTGTGTAAATCCTTTGGAAAAACGTGACCTTAGACATCTTGGGTGAAGGCATATAAACATACATATAATTTCACTTGAGTTTATTTGATTTTTAAAAGTATTCTTCACGCAAATACATAATAGATCCATTATATCATTATAAAATAGTTTTGCTTTTTGGTATAATCGTATAACTAATTCGTTCAGACATCAAAGTTACTTTTTTCTTGTATCAATTATATTGTGTGTCTCCAATACAACAGGCATAGCTATAATTCTTTTTGTTTGGGCTCTAAATAACAAGGGACTACAAAATATTAGTATAATTGAGTATAAAAGCTGCCCATAGAGGGTTATACATTTATTGTATAGTTAGTGCATAAATCGTATAAATAAATCCTATGCTTGAGAACATTTTGTGGCAGAGTTTTTTGTTTTTACAAATGTTGATAAAATGTATGCCAGTTGGGAAAGCATGGGAAATGCAGGTATAATAGAGTATAAAATGATATAAAAATATATATATAACAAGAAATAGAGATAAATAAATATTACATATAATAAAAATAATAAATAATAATAAAGGACGTGTGGAAATCTTATCGCAAATAGCATCTACGAACAGTACGTAGTACGAACGAACTTAGCGTAAAATAAATGTATGTACTATATAAAAAACATAGAGTATAAAATATAGCTTCAATTTCACTGAATAATACTTTAAAACATGTTCAAGCATAAAACAATAAAACAAAAAAAAAATCAACTTCAGTTTGTGGATCGGCGCAATACAAATTAAGCAGTTAATTTACAAACAAACTGTGCATAGACTCTCTAAAAATAAACATAAATGCAAATGATTTGTGTGTGCTTTGTGCGCGCATGTTTTTTGCTCTCAACTTCGAATTTTGTTTGCGTCGTTCGGTATTTTTTAGGCCTTCATCAAGAGATGCGGCTCGGAGCGCAGAGAGTCCGTGAGGTATTGTGTTTTCATTGTCTTCTGGAAATAGCGCTTCTCGTTCGGCGAATTCACCATATAAACAATTGGACGTACGCCCACATTGCGCCACAGATCGCCTATGTGCCTGCAATAGATTTAAAATTTATATAAGTGAATTGAATTCAATTTTAAGATTGCTCTAGTAACGGTTAACATTTGTCACTGATCAATGAATGCTGCAGGGCTGCCACTTAGTAGCAAATACAATTGGCAGCTAAGGATGAACTTTGTTAAACTATCGCAGCGCAGTATTTGAGGCGTTGCCAAATTATTAAATTAACGGTTCACTGAACAATGACAAATTTAATTAGTTGTGGTTTGAATAACTTACAAATTGAACTCTTCCTTGCTGAGAAATACAACACTAATGCCAATTACAGGCGCAATTATGTTTCTCAAAATTGCTCCATAAATTGAGGTAATAAGCGTTGACGATTTGAGTATGGACAGCGATAAATAGCTCTCGTGCCACAGGCCGCAAATGATTTCAGGCCTCAATTTACGCAGCTGCAAAATGTAAAATGTTATTCATTATTTTATTTTAAAATAATTTTTATTACATTTAAAAATAATAAAATAAAAAAGAACGCTCTGTTAAGCCAAACTTTTGCTTTTCCATAAGCGTTCGATATAACGAGTATTCTCTGTGTTTATCTGTTCCTCACCTGGTAAATGGCCAAGGGCGACCGACTAATCACAACGGTTCGTTGCGTAAACGTCTCATTCGCTGCCATAAACTTCTGCAGCTGATCAATCATCAGTGCGCTGGTGTCCTGCAAATGGAGAAACAAAGTGGGCGGCATGTTCTGCTCCTCCAGAAAGTCCGCTAATTGCCTCAACGTGGACACCGACTCCCGATCATACTGCGAGCTGAAATGAGTGCAAATGAGAGTTTTAACATAGCTGAAACTATAGTTATTCTTTAATATCTTACCCCATTGGATGCTGCTCCGTTATGCTCAGCTGTTGCAGTTCATGGAGTGTGTGATGCGAGAGGTTGCCCGTGAGGCCGGCTCGCTCCAAGGTCAGGCGATTGGCAATAACTATTTCGCCGCAGGCCGTAATGCCGGCATCCAGCAGGACATTTCGGTAGCCACGTGCCAGACACTGCGGAGGCAAATGGGGTTGGTTACTATTGATTTTTGATTGCCGAACAACCACCGTCTGCTATCTGCTACTGCCGCCGATGACGTCACAACACACTCACTCACTCACCTTTTTGACAGCTGCCTGCGAATTCTCGGGCGCATCGTAGCCGGCGCCTCGATTCGCGATGGGCCAGTAATTGGGCCAATCGTCCGGTGTATTCAGCAGACTAAGCAAACGCTTCTCATTGGGGCTGCGCTGCAGCTTGACGAACTTTGATGCCACACAAATGGCCACCAGGGTCAGGGTGCACCAGGGAATGGCCAAATTGCAGAAGAACCACAGCACATTGAAGCAGAAGAAGACCAGACTAATTGTGCAGCAAAATAGTTTGTAGATCATTTTCAGGCACAGCCAGCACCAGCGCCACCACATTCACCACAAGATGCTGAACGCACAAATTGTTGTTGTTTTGGTTTATTTATAAACGTTTTTTTTTTTTAGTTTTTTGTTAGTTTGCATTTACCCCAATAAGAAATGCGCGCCGCCAACCAACGTCCCACTTGCCACTCCCACTCTGCTACTTGTCGTTTGGCCACTCGTAATCGTTCCAGAGCCTTTTGTATTTTGTCTCCTCGACTCGTTGGTTTTAAACCCGTTTCTAATCGCAATTATTGTATTTAATTAAGTCTAAATTAATTTGTCGGTTAATCACAAGCGCAGTGATACGATGTGTGCACGAATTTTCCAATAAGAAGTGGCCTTAGTGATGTGCGCGAAGTTAGCAAGCGCATCACGCAACTATCGATTGCAGCGATAAAGCAGCGCGCGCACTTTAAAAGTGAGTACTTATGCTACATTGAGAAAATCGTTGAATTTGTAAGCAATTTGATAAATCTGAACTATTAATTTATTTAATTAGCAGTCAAAATACATTTCAATTTACAATTTGGTTAGCATTCGCACCCAGCCTCTGATCGAGGGATGTGACAGCCGTGTATAAACTCCCGGATAAAACGGATCTAAATTCGAAATGGTGAATATTACGTGATATAGTAATACATATACAGTAATTTAAACACTCACCCGCGCAGCCGACACCCCAAGACACAATGCCGATGAGCTTGCCTTGAGCTGTAAGTGGACCACCGCTGTCGCCTATTCCGAAACAAATTCGGAAATGTTATCAGACAATTATTTAAGCAAAAATTTAATTACTCACCCTGACATGCATCCGTGTTACGTGCCGAGGCGCAGAACATGCTGCCGAAACAAGAAACACAATACGTTATTAATTGGATATTGGCTGAATCAGATCTCTCTCCCTCTCTGTCTCACTAGAGAGCACTCTCTCTCACTCTCTCTCTCTCTCTCACTYACTCTCTCTCTCGCTTTACTTACGCATCAGTTACTCCGCCGTGATATCTCAAATCGTTATGACATCTTTCCTGATTAACCGTCCGCACTGTAGTGTACTTCAGCGTAGAGGACAGAACCGATTCCGTGCTGCTCATGTAACCCCAGCCGGAAACAACGGCCAGCTGATTCTCCTCGATCACGGCCCCAGCCTCGGGCAGGGCGATGGGCGAGACATTGGGATTTTGAGTTAAGGCGCCCGGCTGTGTACGCAGCAGCGCCACATCGAAGTTCATGTCCTTGGCATCGTACGAAGGATGCTTATAGATCGTTCGCACACTCATCACGCTGCCGCCACTGGAGCGCTTCACGCTGCCCAGGCGCAAGGTGAACTCCTGCGGCTGCTTCTCGTGGCCATCGACGCAATGGGCGGCGGTGATGGCCCAGCTGCCGTCCAAGACAGAGGCGCCACAGATGTGAACGGTGAGGCGCCGTAGCGATAGCTGATAAGGAAACTCGCCCTCATTTGCCTCCCTTCCATTCACAATGCGTCCATCGGGGCGACGAGGCGGCACTGAGGCCTCACAGATCTTCCAAGAGATCGCAAATATTAGGGTTAGAAGTGGAGCTAGGTTCCGCATGGCTTTGCTGACTCAACGAAACTGAATTGCCAGCTGTTTGCCAGGCAGCAAAAAATACGTTGATCAAACCATTGCGGGGAGTTGCACTTTATCAATACTCTCTGTTATCTCAGCTCTTGTACTTTGCTTCAGCTAGACTATAATTAACAATTGTCAATAGGTCTTGTCTTGTTTAGGTTTTATTGTCTTACTCTGTCTTTTTGTCTGTTGTTTTGTGATTATTATTGGTGTTTGGTAACAACGGCAATGAACTTCCTTCGTAGTTATTCCAAAAATTTCCCCCGCATTGGAAAATAACAATTGAATTACTAAGAAATGAATTTAATTGAAAATTAAAATCTTTGTCATACATTTTTTCTTCTAAGTACCATGAAATTTTCTAATATAACTATACCGACCTTTTCAAATTATTAATTTATTTTCATATTATCAATAATCACTACAAATTTTAAGCTTAACCGTCAACATATTCGATTGCTTTCAGTTCAGCTGTTTCAAAGCATCGATACTACTGCGGAATATCGATTGTTTTCATATCTCTGACAAATTTGTTGCTCCTTTTGAAGATATCATGCTGCGGTCACACTGATCAGCAGTCTCGCGCTTAGTCTTGCCCAACAGTGACGCCTATGATGGGCACGCTGCGCGTCTTTTAATTGGTTAAGCGTAATGTTTACATTTTAAATAATATTAAATACACTAGTAAGACCGCTATAACGGTCGTTTAACAAGATTTAAACATTCAAAGTAAATGGACAAATCAGTAACTTTGGTTTTACGTCTCTGTTGGTGCAAGGATTACGCGACGCTCTGAGCACGTTCATATTTGCGAGTATGTGTTTGAAATAATATAAAATGCAAAAGTTTATCAACAAAAAGTAACTGAAACAAGTGCAGGGCTATACAAAAAGGTTCGTACAATGGGCAGGTCTCAAGAATCAATAGTATTTTCTTCCTAACAACACAGACACATTAACACACACACACACACACATACACTCGCACGCACACATTCAAATTCAACCCTCTGTTTATAATCCGACAAAAAAAATAAGAAACCGGATTCAAGTTTAGTTGAGCGGCAACACAAACTCACCAGACGAAAGACAACTAAATTTGTAAATTTTGCCTGACTTAAATCAAATTATTAAAATTGCTGCAAACGCTGTGTATGTGTGTGTGTGTTTCTCTCAGCTATTGTGTGTACGTGTGAGTGTGTGCGTGCGATTGTACTTGCGTTCAATTACCGTTACAACGCACCTGACGCTGAGCGTCAAGGTTGTCTATCACTTTCTCTCCACCACCGCCACTATCAGCAATTTTGTGGAACCCGAAAAGAAATAAAGAAACCCAGACAGTCTGGCCACACCACAATATTTGCATCTCCTTTTTGCTGCGGCTGCTGCTGCTGCTCTTACAAATTGTTACAAAATTGCTGTGGCTTTAATTTATGCAGCAGCCACTGCCGTCGCGACAGCTCATCTTTATTTAGCTTTCTTGCTTACTCACTCGCATTCGCATTCGCATTCACATTCATTCATTCAGTTTTCTTATGTCTTACTTCAATTCTCAACAATTCTTTGCCTGCATCTCTTATATTGCTTTATTGTATAATTCAATTTAAATTGATTTTCTGCTGTTGCCGCTTTTTATTTTTATAATCGTTCTTCTTATTCTGTTTTTGCAACGCTTTGTACTTTCCCCCTTTGTCTTACTTGTTTCTACGCAGACAAATACATTCCCTTTCTTTGCTTTCTTTGACCCTTTTCCACACACTATTGGCGCTGCCGTCGCCGTCGTCGATCTCCCAAGCGGCTCCATTAGCAACTACACAGTTATTTGTGCTCTTAAACGCTGTTGCCCATTTCTAATCTTGCTTTGGGTCGGGTGTTCTTACTRTTGTTGTTGTTGTTGCTCTTTGCTGCTTATTCGTTTGATGTTTTTGTAATTTAGATACAAATTGGTATGTAGCCATATGTATATAAGCAAATGTATATAAACATCATCAATGTATGTATACAGTCATCATGGATATCAGCTTTTGTATATAAACATATTTGGGCTCGCATTATTTGTTGTTGGCAAAAGTAATATGCGTTTACCTGCACAAACTAACGTGGGAATTACTTGAAATTATCAGCAAATGTTGTTGTAATTGCCTTTTGCTGTTTGGTCGTTTGAAGTTTTTGTAATGAGCAAACTAATTGGCATATACACATACGTATGTACACACATATGTATATGTATATATATTTAAGCAAATTTGTTTCGCCTAAGTGCATGGCCAAGGTCAAACATGGGCAAATGCAGATTGGTAAAGCAAGACTCTGGAATTGTTATCAGTTTCTAAGGAATTAGAATGTTTCCGGACATAAGCGATACCCAGCAGAACAATTTCTTTTGCAGTTATAATTTGAGTTTAATATATATGCGTACATATAAAACAAAACTACAATGAAATTGTTGTTCATTTAAATTGCCATTCATTCAAAACAAATAATTAAATCCGAATCAGTGGCGATTGCTGAGCTAGTGAATACCCTGTAATCACCATTGCTTTGTATTCACTCTGCTTTATAAATTATATTCTAATTGTAAAACTAAAATATTATATAATTTTATGAGTGAGTTAAGATATGCATCTGGTATACCTTGATGGGTTTGCGCTAAATAATTGAGCTTCATTGAACAACTTTTGCCAGTGACACGCTAAAAATGTTGTAAAAAATAATTTTTTGTTGTTAGCGAATTGTGAATTAACGATTTGGAACCGACATACCACATGCCAACACGCTAATCTAGCTTATAGTAATCATAGTTAAACACGCAAGAAATGAACTTTAAGCATTTGGTGCTGAACAAAAGATAAAATATATAAAAAATAAACTTGTATAGTATATTTTTATATAGCGGTAGAATGATCATTTTAGAAAATAATATACTTTTTATACCCTGAACCCATTGAAAATGGGAAATCAGGGTATAATGGTTTTGTGAAAAAGTATGTAACGGGCAGAAGGAGGCGTGGCAGACCCCACAAAGTATATATATTCTTGATCAGCGTGACGAGCTGAGTCGATATAGCCCTGTCCGTCTGTCCGTCCGTCCGTCCGTCCGTCCGTCCGTCCGTCCGTNTTTATCATTAAAAATCGATAACTCATCCCGATCTTTTTTTATCGATAAAAAACCTTATCGAAAACCAGTTATAAAATTATATCTTCTACACCCTTATTGCTAGAGTCTCCAAATTTTTAATGTATGCTTATATGCAATTTATACAATTTCGGTTTTTGTTAAAATTTACCCCCCACCCTTAAATTCACCCCCTCACCCTCACTTTTGTAAAAAGCGTATTTCAAATACTAGAGACTTGGGCTTTGGAATATACACACATATTCACCATATGATTACGCTCTAAAAGTTTCATTAAGATCGTATGTCTACAAAAGAAATTATTTAACAAATAAATTCTCATAATATTGCCCACACTGCAGCGCAGCCCAAGCGCAGTCGCTGCTTACTGCGCAGTTAGCAGAGCGCAGGCTTATGCGTGCGTGTGGATGCATGTGTATGTATGTGTGCATAAAAGAAGTGCAGAATGATTAGAATATCAGCTTAGAGGGTTCAGGGTATCTCCTAGTCGAGCAGTCTCGACTGGAGCTTTTTACTTGTTTATAACAGAATTACAAAGTTCTTAAACTATATACATATTGTTCTTTTTTCTCCTTTTTCGTTTGTTTTTATTTACTCTTCAGATTTGTTGTTGACCTTTCTTTTATATTTTTTCTTCATTTTTGGATTCATTATCAGGAGACAAGTTGAGAGATAGCAAGATTAAGTATCTTCTTTGGGCTCTTTCATATTAAGCTAAAGTCTATTTATAAACTGTGTCGACCTCATAAATTTTATAGTTTGTCATGATGAGAAGATTGAGTTATTGCCAGATAAAGATAAATAGATACGCTGAATAACGGAATGAAACGCACAACCAAAGAGAATATTAATTAATGTTTACTTTATTGCATCTATTATTATAATAATTTTGTTTTTGGATGAATCAGCAGAAAGGTAACAGCGAAATCCCCTTTAAGTGCTAAGATTACAACAACAACAACAAAAACAATCTGTTAATAAAAATCATTTCCTTCTACCAATTGAGTTTCGCTTTTGGGTGGCATTACATTTGCTCGTGAGTGGAATGACGAAAAAGCCAAACTTATTTAATGGCTACAATGCAGCCCGAAAGCTTGGACTGCGCACAAAAGTGCAACAGTTAAAATAACAATAAGAGAAACAACGATGACAATGAGAACGACTGATGGGCAATGTCACAAACAGACGGACGCGAAAGAATGACTACTAGCTGTAGCAAACCGAAGATGAAATACCCTTACTCGAATAAATTAATTAAATTACTTGAATACATTTAAATTCATTAGCTAAATATTTCTTACCTTAAATCTCAATTGGAACTGAAATTTAATTTACGACATTTATATATACCTATATATATCTAATCTAATAGATACATATATCAAATCTGTAATAAATTAGTTAATTGTTATTTTTAATTGATTTTTTTAAGTGGGATTTCAAACTTTCTTAAACTAAATCTCAGCTCGCCTTGAAATTATATTAGCCAAAGTTAAGGGTATATAAACAATAACAAACCGCAAAAAAGCGACAACAACGGCAACAAAGCAAATAAAACGAGATTTCAATGCAGGAATTTTCATTTCCATTACAAATGCTGTGGTCGCTGTTGTTGCTGCTTTTGTTGTTGTTTTTGTTGTTGTTGGCTGCTTGGTTGGGTTTTGTCAACTGCTGGCGATGCGGCTACCGGTTGCGGCTATATTGGGAATTGGTATGGGCCAAGCGACAGAGTGGGGCAGAGCGGGAGCTTGTGGCCGGGCGGGGGGAGGGGAATTCCCCTTGTTGGCTATGGGAACAGAAAGTGGCAAACGGTGCAATTTGACAAACGTTGCACGCACTTCGAGTGCTCACTGACGAACTGACGCTCGACTGACTGGCTCTTTTCTACCGTTACGTTTTAGTTGAGTGCAGCTCTGCTCTGCTCTGYTGGTACTTTTGCAACTGGCCCGAAGTGTATTGCCAACTGGGGACGGAAATCTGAACGTGAACGAGGACAGTGACCGACTGTCGACTGTCGACTGTCGACTCTCGACTCTCGATTGCCGACTGCAGTGCAATTGACCTGCAAGTCAAGCGAAATGTCCTGCCACAGTAAACTTGCCGATTATCATACCCTATACAGACAAATTGACAAAGAATATATATTGGTTTTGTACACAGCGACGCACTGACAACATTTGACTAGAGCGGAATTGAAAAACATTTTATTTCTATTCAGAACGGGCATATTGGCTTGGTGTAACACTGTTAACTTCACGGTTAACTTTGCATATATCGTAATAAATATCATTTCACGCTTTTGTATTCTTCCTTTACATTTGCAACCCAAAAAATACCACATGAAATATGTGATCTATGTCTAAAAGATGAACTAATCAAGCTATAATCTTTTTTTTTACCAATATTTTATTTTGCCATTCACATGAATAAAATTCAAAAATCATAAAAGGAATATTTATTTTGCATTTCAACAAAATCAATTCGTTCAACACAAATTCTAAAAGGCATCACGCAGTCGGTTATAGCCGATTGCAATGTTGTTACTTCTCTCACTTCTGATGTGTTTGGGGCACTTGGTTCAGTGCCTTTTCGTAGCCTTTGGTAACTTGGCTAAGCCGCCAGCTGTTCAAAATACATGTTTTTTTTGCATCGCACATTAAAAAACAGCTCTTGAAAGGAATGTCGTTTGTAGGGCTGCTACCAATCGCAGGGCATTGACGTGACCCATTTGTTGCACACCAAAGAGCCTAGTCATCAA